TGAGCTTGCCAGGCAAGCACTTATTCTACTGAGCTCTCTCCCCGGGTTTCCTCACAGTCTCTTGAGGTGACGAAAATGGCCAACACCGGCTATGATGGCCAACAAGTCTGTCAATAGACTGAAAACCATAAAGTGCGCTGTAAGTGCTTTTAAGAATTCAACCAATGACACAGTTGCATTAAAAAATAAACCCTCCATGGGGCTGGAGGGTCCTAGCTTCCATCATCAATGCCTCAGGCACAAATACAACACACATACATGAAAAATTACAAAGGAATATAAAGTTGAAAAAAAGTACAGTTTATGTAATGTTCAGTACAGAGGAGAAGAGGAATGGGACGGGGAGAAGAAAGAGGGCTACCAGCCACCTTAGGACTTTGAAGATGCAAACCAGATCTGTCACCTCAGCCTGTGTGAGGAGCCTTCTCCCCAGCCCAGGCCATCTCCCCTTGTCACTCCCTGTGGGGTCAGTCCCACTGGCCAAGTCTCTGCCCCCATCTACAGCACTGCCAAAATTTCCATCACACACAGGCCCCTTCTCTAGCCTTTTGAGGGATGGTGACTCATCTGCCTGGCTGGACCCACTGTGCCTGGCACACAGTAGGTCAAGTGAGAGATAGACAGGTGGATGAGGGGTGCCCTGGATCTTGTTACCCCCATGGATCCCACAGGGTTCATCAATGAAACCTTCAGCACCAGGAGCCACAGAAGTGTCCACAGCTGGAGAGGGCCAGCTAGGGCTGCACCCTCCTGCACCCCTTGCCTGCCCCCACACCGCTGAGCTCCTTCCCCATACCTCCACTTGAGCCTCATCCCAGGCGTCCAGGCGGACTGACTTCACCTTGCTGATCTGAGGGATGCTTCGGTGGATTCCTGAGCAGCTCAGGCAGATGAACACTCCCAGGGTGTAGGATGCCCAGTCAGGGTCTGGAAAGGAAAGGCCAGAGGTCAGGAGGCACAGCCAGACACCTAGGTCGCCAGAGCCCTGGCAGGGAGGCTCAACCCCCATCTGCGCAAGGCCAGGCTGGAGGAGCGATTCCAGGGCTGCCCTGGCTCTGTGGGCCCTAACCTACGGCTCTGCATCCGTAGAGTAGTAACCCACCAGCTCACCCCAGCTGCCCTCATGTGGACAGAAGTCTCCTCAGAAACCCACAGCATGTGCTGGAACCTATGAGCACAGGCTCCACCTGGCTGCCAGTAGGGCCCTGGGCACCTCTGTGCACAGCAACTATCCCAGGATGATGACGGCAGCAGGACCTAAGCTTGCACCCCAAAGTGTTTAGGCATATGCTTCTAGATGTCTTGTATGCTTCACAAGGCTCCACCTGGGTGTGGAGTAACAGGCAGGCACACTTGTTACCCCAGCACTCGGGCTCAAGCCACATGGCATGCGTGGGTCCCGGCTTAGTGCTATCTATGTTTGCAGGTTTCCATTTTTCATATCGAATTCAGCAAAGTGACCCCTGTGGAATGTGGCACTTGTTAAATTCCATTAGTGGGCGCTTGCTGGGAGACTTGGTGGTTTTCTTCCCATTTGGAAAATCCCATGGTATCAAGGAATCAAAAGGGCCAGGGGTTGTGGGGGGGAGGCTAATGGAGGCTCAAGAATCAGGAGATAAAGGGAGGGGGATGGAAGAGGGGGAGGGAATGAGGAGGGGCAGGAGATAAAGGAGAGGGAGAGAATGAGGAAGGGGAGGGAATGAGAGGGGGAGGGGATGGAGAAGGGGGAGAGGGAGGGAATGAGGAGGGGGAGGGGATGAGGAGAGGAAGGGGAGGGGAGGGGAGGGGGAGGGGGGGGGGGAAGAGAG